CTAGCAAAACATTTATGGGGGACTGTGTGGGCCAGATGGGCTGAATTTTAGCACCAGTCCAGCCCTGATGATTCTCCTCTTCTAGGGCCAGAAAGAAGACCTTCTAATCATAAAACTATTTAAACTAAACTCCTTAAAGGAGCTGTATATGCTCAAAAGTTGCTGCTTCTGGAAACCTGTTTGCTTTGGCTTCATATATCTGGTGTTATTGTATTTATTCTTTTAATGTGTTGCAGCCTGGAATATTTAGTGTGCATACACATTGTCTCTTGTGTGTTGGAGATTTGATTAAAAAATAAAAAATTATTCCTGTGGTAGAAAACATTGTGGCACCAAGATAGGCTACTATGAAGGGGGGCCCTTGGGTTTGCTATAGCCCCAGGGCCCTATGTGTTCTTAATCCGGGCCTGCCTACGGGGCAAGTGGAACCTGTTCGTCGATTGGTGTTCTTCCCGGTGGGAAGACCCCCGTAGATGCCCGATCGCGGTCGTGCTCTCCTTTCTGCAAGAAGGGCTGGAGCGAAGACTGTCTCCCTCCACCCTTAAAGTGTATGTTGCCGCTATCGCCGCACATCACAATGCAGTAGACGGCAAGTCTCTTGGGAAGCACGAGTCATCAGGTCCTGGGGCATATGGCATCCGCAGCCGCTGTCACGCCGCTTGGGTTGCTTCATATGAGACCGCTTCAGCGTTGGCTTCACGACCGGGTCCCGAGATGGGCATGGCGACACGGCACTTACCGGGTTCCTGTTACCCCGTTCTGCCGTCAGACCTTCAGCCCGTGGGCAGATCTTGCCTTTCTTCGGACAGGGGTGTCCCTTGGGCAAGTATCCAGGCATGTTGTTGTGTCAACAGATGCCTCTGCCAGGGGCTGGGGTGCCATGTGCAATGGGAATGCAGCTGCGGGGCTCTGGTCGGGGCCCCGACTGCAGTGGCATATCAACTGCCTCGAGTTGCAAGCAGTATGGTTAGCTCTGCGCCGCTTCAAATCGCTGCTACACGACAAGCACGTACTGGTCCGTACGGACAGCACTGCGACCGTTGCGTACACCACCAGGGCGGTCTACGCTCCCGTCGCATGTCGCCCGCCATCTCCTCCTCTGGAGTCAGAAGCATCTGAGGTTGCTTCGCGCCGTTCACATCCCAGGTGAGCTCAATCGTGCAGCCGACGAGCTCTCACGTCAGCCCGCCCTTCCGGGAGAATGGCGACTCCACCCCGAGACAGTCCAGCTGATTTGGAGACGCTTTGGGGACGCTCAGGTAGACCTGTTTGCCTCCCCGGACACGTCCCATTGCCAGTTGTTTTACTCCCTGGCCGAGGAGCCCCTCGGCACGGACGCACTGGCGTGCAGCTGGCCTCGGGGCCTACGCAAATATGCGTTTCCCCCAGTGAGCCTTCTCGCACAGACACTGTGCAAGGTCAGGGAGGACGAGGAGCAGGTCCTCTTGGTAGCGCCATACTGGCCCAGTCGGACTTGGTTCCCCGAACTGATGCTCCTCGCGACAGCCCCTCCTTGGCGAATTCCTCTGAGGAGGGATCTCCTTTCTCAGAGAGGGGGCACCCTCTGGCACCCGCGTCCAGACTTGTGGAATCTCCACTTGTGGTCCCTGGACGGGACGCGGAGGTTCTAGGTGGGCTACCTCCAGCGGTAGTAAACACCATCACGTCAGCTAGAGCCCCGTCTACAAGACACGCTTACAGGCTGAAGTGGAACCTGTTCGTCGATTGGTGCTCTTCCCGCCGGGAAGACCCCCGTAGATGCCCGATCGGAGTCGTGCTTTCTTTCCTGCAGGATGGGTTGGAGCGAAGGCCGTCTCCCTCCCCCCTTAAAGTGTATGTTGCCGCTACCGCCGCACATCACAATGCAGTAGACGGCAAGTCTCTTGGGAAGCACGACTTGGTCATCAGGTTCCTTAGGGGTGCGAGGAGGCTGAATCCTCCAGGCCTCCACCTGGTACCCTCTTGGGATCTCCCCTCGGTCCTTACGGCCTTGAAGGAGGAGCCCTTCGAACCTCTGCCGTCAGTAGAGCTTAAGCTTCTGTCACTAAAGACAGTGTTCCTCACTGCATTGGCTTCGGTCAAGAGGGTCGGGGACCTGCAGGCATTTTCGGTCGACGATACATGCCTTGAATTCGGGCTGGCCGACTCTCACGTTGTCCTGAGACCCCGGCCTGGATATGTGCCCAAAGTTCCCACCACGCCTTTCAGGGATCAGGTGGTGAACTTGCAAGCGCTGCCCCAGGAGGAGGCAGACCCAGCCATTGCGCTGCTCTGTCCCGTTCGCGCTTTGCACATTTACGTGGACTGTACGCAGAGCTTCAGGACCTCAGACCAGCTCTCTGTCTGCTTTGGAGGACAGCAGAAGGGAAGGGTTGTCTCCAAACAAAGTCTTGCCCACTGGATAGTGGAGGCCATAGTCTTGGCATACCAGGCCCAACATTTACCGTGCCCCCTCGGAGTGAGAGCACACTCTACGAGAGGAGTGGCATCTTCTTGGGCGTTGGCGCGGGGCGCCTCGATAGCAGACATCTGTAGAGCTGCCGGCTGGGCGACACCTAACACGTTTGCGAGATTCTATAATCTCCGTGTAGAGCCCGTGTCCTCTCGTGTACTTACCTCAGATGGTCAGTAACACTGGACCCGCTCGGTGTCAATCACGCTTGCTGCACCATTCCCCTCTACAGACCGGATACGTGCGCATAAGTGCTTCTCAGTCAGTTTCCCCTTTTGGTGAACCCTGTTGAAGTTCTTCCCGCACCCTCGGCGGTCAGGCGTGGCGGAGCGCCAGACACCGGGTCCAGCACTCGTGTGTATGCCCAAAGTCAACCCTTGTGCTGGGCTAGGTACCCATGTGTAGTGATTCCCCCTTCGGGTGATTCCACATGTGTTTTCTTCTACGGTACGGCTTCCCTCATGGTAAGCCTGTGTCTTCCCTGGCAGAGTCCCTCTGATGTCTCTGCTGTGTATTGATCTCACCCCAGGTTGGCTGAGTCGACACCTCTGCCTAGCCGCTGTCCTATCTTCCGCCCCAGCTGGTGTGGGGGGACTTGCCGGCTTCCGCAGGGCACTGGAGGGGGTCAGCAATAGTGGCGTTTTCCATACGGATGCCAATTCGTCAGTCACCGACATAACGTCGAACATGACTGACTGAAAGGGAACATCTCGGTTACGTATGTAACCCTCGTTCCCTGATGGAGGGAACGGAGACGTTACGTTCCGTCGCCACAGTTGCTGTACAACCGAGGCACACCGTCTCGGCTCCTCAGCGAAAAACTGAATGTGCGACTGCACGTGCTCTCCTTATATACCTGCGCTGCGGGGCGGGGTGCGCAACGCAAAAATCGCACGCCAACACTTATTGGCTTGTTTTGTTAACACTCGAATGTGATTGGTCTCTCTAGCGAGGATCCCAATTAGTCAGTCACTGACGTAACGTCTCCGTTCCCTCCTTGAGGGAACAAGGGTCACATACGTAACCGAGACGTTAGTCATGTAACAACAATGTATCAAATGACTGTTTAAATAGTTTTCCCATTATTTTTAAAACAGCAGGCAGTGTACAGATATTCAATAATGAGCTGCATGATTAAAATGATCTTCACAGAGATTCAACTGATTCATTTGAGAGAGTGAGATCTTTGGAGAACATGAGACTGTAGTGAGTCTGAAGAGAGGGTGTCTGTACCTTCAACATTCACTTGAAGATCTGTGGATGTTTCTGAGCAGTTTGAGCAATGATAGAGAGATAAAGTGTAATTCCCTGAATCTGCTCTAATCACACGGTTTATTATCAGAGTCCCATTAATGACTGCAACTTCAGTTCTGTTACTATAAAGATCACAATTCCTCACCCTGCCATTCTTTACTCTACAAACTGGATCAGTTGTTTTGCTGTAGTTTATTCTCTTTTGTATCTTCATATCGTCATATTTTCTAGCGTCCTGCACCATCAGCACATTGAGTTTGTGTCGCAGAGCTGCGTAACAGGGAACAGACTGATTAAACCTGCAGAACTTATCCAGACCTGAAGAACAAAACACACACACACACACACTGATCAATGTGTATAAATATCTCTCGCATTATGAAATAAAATCAGACACAAATGACAAACATTTACAGAATCAAAGTTCAACAGAGAAAAAAAACACATCTGACAGACTCTTGATCTGATTTCACACATCTGATCTCAGGTCATCTAAAATAATCTTCATTATAAACAGATGCATAACTCTTTTCTGTAAAGAAATTGTCATTTGTGTCTCTCCTTCTGAATTACTATACTGAACAAGCTCACGAGCTTGACAGATTTAAGTGAAAGTTTAGTGTGTAATAAAAATAACTGCTACAATAAAACATTCAATTTAATTTAAAACACTAGTCTGTATGTCATCAGTCAAAAAGCAAATCTAAATGTTGATTTTATTCAAATAAACTATCATGCTTTCACTTTCTAACATTTTAACCTGATATTCTGATAATGCAGAACATTGTGACTGTCCTGCACATTCTGTTTCTGTTAACCTGTGACAATTCTCTCTTTATTAATAATGCCTCAATCATTCTGATATCATTTTTAATGGACAGACATTCTTTGATGAATCCTCCATATAATGCAAAAATATTTTTAAAAAGAATAAATATGTTTACACACACTCTCGCATTTTTTAATACTCCAAACTGTTAAGAAGCTCAGCTGATCTATGACTAGATCACTGCAGACTCTTAATGTAATATTACAGCAGAAATGTTTCTTATCAGAAGTTCACCTGACTGAACAACAGTATCATAACTCACATGCAGCAGTTTGCAGCAGCAGCATCAGTCCAAAGATCAGCATCATTTCTCCAAAGACCAGTTTCCAGAAGAGCCCAATCCCAGCAGAAGAGTGTGATGCTGCTTCAGATCGTGACACGAGTGTCTGGACTTCTGTCCATCTCTGTTCTGGCTCTCATGAAGCATCTTTACGGCGAGACTCAGACTGGATTGACACATGAGGAAATCTCTGACCACTTCACTGAGGAAGGAGGAAGTTGCCTCTGATGGGGGAAGGCAGATGATGTTACATCTAAAACAAGAGAGTGAAACTAAAAGAGGGAAAAATAAGTAACATTTTCAGGCAAGAAAAGGAACAAGTGGGGAAGAGTTGTAAAATGACTAATTATGTAAATTACTTGACAGATTCTCCTGCAAATCAAATAAAGCAGTATCTTTACTGTATTGATGAAATGCTCTTGACAGTTTTATTGAGAGTAAACCAGAATCTGGTCTACATGTGAGTGTTATGCAGGCTGTTTGTAATGTCTTCCTCTCATTGAGTGTGTGTGATGGTGTTTGTAGCGTTTGACTCGGATCCAGTCCGTTCATGTGTGAATGAAGAGAGGATTCTGACCTTCAGCCCATCTGGACTCACTCTTCTGTTTACTGGAGCAGTGTAGCTGCGAGCTGCTCTTGTAGAGAGCGACACCTGCAGGAGGAAATGACAACTACAGCTGAACTCTGTCCACCGCGCTCTGCTTCATTTCATTCAAAACCTCATGCTTTAAAATCAACTTAATCTTATTTATTTTAACTTATTTATAAGCTACATTTAAAAAAAAAATCTAATTAAAAAATTTGTTTAAAAAAAATCTAATTAAAGAAGAACTAAACCTGTAGAAAACATCTCTTGGCTTATTCTGTAGGATCTCCGGCTGACGACAGGTAAAAGCTGGATTCATGTGAGAATCTGTGACATTATGAATCATTTCTCATTGATGTGATGATCTGCTGCTGGTCTCATGAATCTTCTGCTGTGTGTTCATGTCGTTCTCTAAATCTTCTCATTCTCAGTTTCTGATCTTCCTTATTCTTTCCTAATAGCATCACATTATCATCACCTTCACACTCTTAATATTTGCATGTCAAATCTATAATGGTGATAATAAATGTCACTCACCTGACGTGTGTCTCATGTAGATGTAAAACCCTCCTAACAAACCCAAAAGAACCATCAGCTGAAAACACCAGACCAGCACAAACACTGACAAACACTGAAAACAACAATCAGACAGAAACCCATCCTTCATGTTTCCAGAAGTGTGTTTAGAATCACATTCGGATGTCTGTGTGCTACTGGTCACTGCAGAGGTCAAACTAGAGATCACAGATGCAGTAGTTGGTCCTGTAATAAAACATCAGCACAGAATAACCTGCTTTCTCTCTTTGAACCACATCAACACAATTCACCGAAGAGCCCAATTAGGAGAACTGACTGTTTTGCATTGTTGGTGTTGATGTGTTTTTTTATACGTGGACATTCATGTATTAACCCTCTCGATGGGTGAGATTTATACCAGCTGATGAGAAACTCATACCATATTCTGAATCTTTTGCTACTGTTGAGGTCACAGATGCAGTAGTTGGTCCTGTAACAAAAAGTCATTGCAGAATCACCAGTTTTCTCCTTAGTATAAATTACTGCAGAGTAATTTATAATTAATCATAATTTATCATTTTGAAGTATTACGTGGCCAATTAAGAGAATCGATTTGTTTAAATCTCATGAAACCTGTCTACGTCATGTCCCGATCACATTTCAGTTCAAAATCTGATTAACTGTACTAACTGTAATATTTTGTATTCACGTTTCATTGAATGTTTTTAGTGGCATTAAACCATTTTGCAATCCTAGCCCATGAATTTACACCTCAAATATCATTTCTGACATATGACGAAAATTTAAAAAAAGAAAAAAGGAAAAAAATTAAATTAAATTAAATTATACATTCTCAATATATTATTGGAAAATATATATATATAAATTATAATTACTATAATATGTGGAAAATAATTATATTATAAAATTGTAAAGTATACTGTACATACTGTAATGGTTGTATTTGTATTCCATCTTTAAATTATGGCAAATAAAAACATTATATTATCATCATAAAATACCTGAGAGAAATCTCATATGCAACTGCATAGAATGAAAATAAATGCAATTGCAGCAATAAGAATCAAAAACAATTATCACTGTAAATAATAACAAATACAAAAAAAAATCTAGAACATTACAGTAAAGAACATTTTGGAAGCAGGAGTGCTTTTAATTCTCATGAAAAAAAGGCAATGCAAATAAAATGAATGGGTTGTAAAATAGTCCTAATTTTCTTCATGCAAAATATAATTTCTTTTGATTTGGGGGTGAAATGTTTGTTTGTCTGTTTATAATTTATCAACTGAAAAATATAAAAAGTAAGTACATTTATAAAATACATATAAACAACAAACAAAGACAAAAAAGATTTACCTTAAGCTGGTCTAAATCTAGTCTTATTTAATAAAAAAAAAAGAAGGGAAAAAACTCTTATGAATAAACAAAACTATGAAGAGTCCTAGAGGAGATAAAACCATCACAGTTCATCAAAATACGCATCAGAAATATTGCACTCTGGCATAAGAGGATTTTGTGGTGAAATGTGACTTGGACATGTTCTTGACAGGTTTTGTGAGATTCGCTCATCTTCATTATTCTTGTTGCTGTCGCTGTGGTTTTTATAAATATGTGGACATTCATGTATTAAAAGCTCACCAGGACAGGGTTGGACACTAACAGTCTTCTGTCTGTGACTGACGTGGTTCTTCACACTGCAGCTGATGTTTCCATCAGTTCCCTCATCCAGATCAATGCTGGCGTTTCCATCCATCAGTGGACCTCCATTCAGAATCCCCTCAGAGGAGCAGAAAACCCTCATCGCCCCACTGGAGGAGCAGCTGATTGTCACTTCCACTGAGCCAATAGGAGCTGGAGGGAGGGACACGTGACCGTCACACAACTCCGTCTCGACTCAGTATAAGTCAATAGGTGCGTTCGACTTCATGCGGCGCCGCGCAAACCGATCGGCGGCTGACTTGAAGCAGTGCATGCCGGTTAGAAATTTTGTCCGACTTGAACCGGCGCCGACGCTACGTCACTGTCACGTGTGGCATCAAAGTACCGCGATATCATTTCGAGAGCAGCCGGCTGACTCAGCTGGCGCAGCTTTTTCAGAGCGACTGCAGGAGCGCTGATGACGACACAGCTGTTTCACGATTGGCCAGATTCACCGCATGACAACTATCACGTGTGTTTCGGGATTATTCTAACCTTTTCAATTCCAATAATAGCCACAAATCTGTGTTTTTAGAACAGTAAAAGCTTTTTTACTGTAGTCGCACTGTTATATTGAGTCACGTTTATCATGAAAGCATATATACCCCCACTTTATTAGTATTTAAATAGTATATATTTACATTTAACTTTATTCTTGAACAGATGGCGCTGTATTAAGCAGTATATAAAAAGTGTTTCTGTTGCTCATGAAAACGTTTCTGAAACGTCTGTGTATTTTATAATAGGTGCGTTCGGCTTGAAGCACCGCTACAGACGGCGATCAACAAGAGTAGCTTGGATTTGAAGATGCTAGAAACACAGGTCATTGTTGCCATGTGGTGAATTTGGCCAATAGTGAAACAGCTGTGTCATCATCAGCGCTCCTGCAGTCACTCTGAAAAAGCTGCGCCAGCTGAGTCAGCCGGCTACTCTCGAAACGATATCGCGGTACTTTGATGCCACACGTGACAGTGACGTAGAGTCGGCGCCGGTTCAAGTCGGACAAAATTTCTAACCGGCATGCACTGCTTCAAGTCAGCCGCCGATCGGTTTGCGCGGCGCGGCATGAAGTCGAACGCACCTAATGTCAAGACATTTCTAAACAAAATGTATTGCTGAGGTGAAAGCTGGACTGAATTAAACATGCAGCGTACAGTAGGTTAGTCATGTGACAACAATGTATCAAATGACTGTTTAAATAGTTTTCACATTATTTTTAAAACAGCAGGCATTCAATAATGAGCTGCATGAAGTATCTAAACCATTTTTAATCAAATGTTAGCTAGGTTTGCAAGGTAAAGTAATATGTTTACACTGTTATACTTTACAAAGAGAGATTTCTAATGAGAGTTTATTGAGATGAAGGAGGGGGTGATGAATTCAGACTTCTTCACTTAGGGTTAGGGTTAGGGTACTTAAACTAAAATAGGGTAAATAGTGAACTTAAAGCCACAAACGTCAAATTTTGACTTCATGAGTCTGTAACACAAAACACTTCAAACAATAAAGACTAATACTAGAGCACTGCAGACTGTTCTGAAAACATTCTAATATAGTGCTTTTTTCAGAGATTTTTTTTCATAGACTCATCTGTGTACTCACAATATATTAATACACCTATTGCAGTTTCTGTGAGAGAAAAGGAAGTTGAGATCATATGCTGATGCAGTTTAACGTCTTGCACAAGCCAAGTTACAAAAGTAAATAGCACATAAATTTGTTTTTCAGCCATTGTGTGTGGCCACAGGGAAAAAACTGGCTGAGACTGAGAATAAAAACCATTGCTGAAATCTACTAAAGAAAACATCTGTCACGATTTTCACATCTTCTATCAATTTTTACCCAAATTTGAATCCACGAGGTCTGGCACAAAATCATAATGGATTATGTTCCCTGTTAACTTCAATGTAAATTTGACCATCATAAGTCAATCAAACCACTGAAACAAAAATATTAGGGACAAAAATGACCTGCATTGTAAATCAAATATACAAGAAAAAAACAGCTAAATAAGCCAGATGTCGTAAGGATATTTATAATGTCAAATTTAAGCCCTGCATGTGTCATTTTAAAAAGTATTAACAAAGCTCTCAGTGATTACTGCAATTTGTAAAAACATTTTCCTGATAAAGAAGCACAGTTTGTAAATGATGACACTGAGATCTCTGTCATTCATCAAGATTTTGAAATCGGTTTCATTTGAAGAAATTGTGACAGAAAATATATTACTATTGTACGGTAGACTGTTCTTCTCAAAGCAATAATAATGACATTTACTGTATATTAATTT